TTCCCTTTTGCATCTGACACACATTTTTCTCAAAAGATTTTCCTGTTTCCACTCCCTCTTCTGATTCTGATGATTACACTGTTCCTTCCAATTCTGATATTCCCTTTTCTGTTACTAACCCTATTCCTTCAGATACCACTGTTTTAGAACCTTCTTCTCATATTTCTGACTCTCTTAATACCACTTCTCCTAGGGTTTCCAGTATTTCTCCCACCAATCCTGTTATTGATGATTTGCTTAAAAAGTCTTCTAGAATTACTAGGACACCTGCATATCTTAAAGACTATGTTTGCAATGCCCTTCGACTCACAGATGTGAGTTCAACCTGTTTTCTGAGTCCTGTTACCCATATTTCTTTTCCTTTCAACAAATTATCTTCTATTAATCAAGTCATGCTCACCTCTGTTTCTAGTATCCATGAACCTGTTAGCTATGAACAGGCAGCACATGATCCAGCCTGGCAGGAAGCAATGCATAAAGAATTATCTGCTCTAGAATTGAACAAAACTTGGGATGTAGTTGAATTACCTCATGGAAAAAGGCTTTACCTTGTAAGTGGGTATATAAAGTGAAACAACATTCAGATGGTAGTATTGAAAGACTTAAGGCACGACTGGTTATTAGAGGTGATATTCAAAAAGAAGGGGTGGATTACAATGAGACATTTTCACCAGTGGTGAAAATGACTACTATTCGGTGCATTCTTGCTTTTGCTGTAAAGAAAGGATAGGATTTGTTTTAGTTGGATGTCAATAACGCCTTTTTACATGAAGATCTTGATGAAGAAGTATATATGAAATTTCCTATTGGGATTACACCTCCTTCACCTAATCATGTTTGTTTGTTAAAGAAGTCTATTTATGGTCTTAAGCAAGCATCGCGCCAATGGTATTCCAAACTCACTGCAGCTCTCAGTTTCAAAGGATATAGTCATTCTCTAAATGACTATTCTTTATTTTTTAAGAAAACCGACAACTCCATCTCTATTGTTGCAGCTTATGTAGATGATATTCTATTAACAGGTGATGATGCAGCAGCTTTACAAGATTTAAAATTGTTTTTAGATGCTGAGTTTAAGATTAAGGATCTTGGGAACTTGCATTTCTTTTTAGGACTAGAAGTTATTCGCGAGCCTAATGGTTTGATTCTGTCTCAACGCAAGTTCACCTTAGACCTATTAGCAGAATTTGATTGTCTACATCTTTCACCCGTTTCCGTGCCATTGGATCCTACTGTCAAATTAAAGGCAAATGATGGTATCCCCATGAAGGATCCAACTACCTACAGGCATTTATTGGAAAAAATGAATTACCTTACTCACACCAGACCAGATCTTTCTTTCACCATACAACATCTTAGTCAGTATATGCAAGATCCAAGGGTTCCCCATTTTACTGCAGCCTTACGGGTTCTCCGCTATTTGTTGAAGGACCCTGGTCTTGGTCTATTTATGAACAGTGATTCATCATACAAGCTGCTGGCTTTCTGCGATTCTGACTGGGGTACCTGTCCGGATTCACGAAAATCAGTCAGTGGGTTTTATATCTCCCTTGGTTCTTCTCTAATTTCATGGAAATCGAAGAAGCAAGCTTCGATTTCACTCAGCTCAGCTGAAGCTGAGTATAGATCAATGAGAAGGGTAGTGGCAGAACTCACCTGGTTGGTTCGTTTGTTCGACGATCTCACTATTCCGATCTCTTTACCAGTTCCTCTTCAGTCAGATAGTTCAGCTGCAATCCACATCGCTAAAAACCCCGTGTTTCATGAACGAACGAAGCATGTCGAAATCGACTGTCATTTCGTTCGTCAACAGTACCTCGCCGGCCTCATTTCTCTTTCTCATGTTAGTTCCTCTTCTCAGCTTGCCGATCTGTTCACCAAATCTCTTGCTGGACCTCTTCACCATAGCCTTCTTCACAAGTTGGGAGTATCATCTACGCCTCCAACTTGAGAGGGGGTGTTGGATTTCATAGTTGTCATAGCCACAAGAATGACTATTGTAATGAATAGAGAAAGTTGATTATTGGTGAAAACGATATTTGGGCTCTGGGACTCATTTGGACTTCTACCACCAGCTAAACTTTGGGCCTAAACGTTTTGGGCTTAAGCATACACTCAGATCCAATAAACAAATCTGTACATATCATTAGGTCTTGCAACGTTTCTTTTATTTCTTGTATTTATTTTGTTTGTTAGAAATAGGTCAATTAGAAATAGACACCTGTCTAGTTTGTTAGTAGAAAGATTCTTCAACACTTGTATAAATACAGCACCAATTGTATAGTTTGATCATCAAGAAATACAGAGAAGGAAATTTTCTATTTAGTGTCTTGTTTAATTCTTGCATGGTATCAGAGCAAGGTTGATCTTTCTTGCATAATCCCTCGTTTGAAGTTCTTCTTCTTCTTCTCTGTATATTTTCTGAAATGACTGAAGGCGAAAATTCACCTGTGGTTCAAACTACTCAAGCAAGTGATAGGATCCCTGTAATCAATACAGTGGATTCTTCACATGCTTTTTATCTTCATTCTTCTGATCATCCAGGCATGAATCTTGTTTAATTCTTGCACTATCTAGTAAATCATTACGGTAAATTTGTCAACGGGAAGGTTTACTGGGTTGCATCTACTGGTCTTCATAGTCTAAAGCTGAACAACATCATTTCTTTTGATGTAGCTGATGAGACATGGGGTAGCTTGGAGCTTCCCATTTGTAAAGAAGTCGATTCTATTTTCAAGTTGGGAGTTGTGGGGAGCGACCTTTCTCTACTTTATGCTTGCCATGATCTTACTTGTGATGTCTGGATTTTGAAGGATTGCGGAGTTTGGACAAAATTGTTCACTATCAATTATCCACGAAATGCTGGGCTATACATGCTTGCTCCTCCCATTTTTACATTTTCTATGCATCTTCAACGGTCAGAAATAGGTGACATTTTACTTTCGCTTCCGGGATATATCATGATATTTGATGGTTCAACCAAAAAATTTGAGCACACTCCTGATGTTAAGGGACCCAATCCTCCAGAAATCTACGCAGAAAGTATTGTTAATCCCCTAATGATATCTGGTAAAATTCTGCTTAGTTTAGCTGGTATGCTCGTTTTGCACTTCCTTTTCCGTCAAATATAGGACAAGACATTGAATATATATTAATCCGTACATCATATTTGCTTGTAGTTCTTATAAGCATTTCTACTTTTTATTTTACTAGTTTTTGGACACATGCACCTAGTATCGTCAATTATTAGAATGTTTTTATTCTAAAGCAATAAATCTTTAACAATATACATGTTTCAAAAGCATTTGTTTGAAATAAGTTGGTGTGGTCTACTACATGTTCTAAGTTACTCATATGCTAAAAATCTAAATACAGTATGCACCAGATATGCAGTAATTCTAACAAAGTTTCCTATTATATTTTAGTATTTGGTTTATAGATGATCGTGGTCTTGTATTGAGTATTTAATTGACACAATTTCTCAAATTCTTCAGATTTTTTATGGCAAAGAAGACAATGTTGTTATGGTGGACTCATTTTTGGCCACATCCTATCTGTTGTTCACTAATGATACTACCATAAGTTAAACATTTCAATAACAGTTTACCTTAAAACTATGTGTACGGGATGTATAAATATTCACAACTTCGAGCTTGTTTGGATTGACTTATTTTAAGTGCTTTTAAGCACTTATCTAGTGTTTGGGTAAGATTGGTTTATTCTCAACGAGGCTTAGATGTATGAGAAGAAACTGCCTGGTTTTTAAAATAAATTTGAACCATAGTTTTATTTTAACGACTAAATTGTTAGTAATTTGCAATTTCCTCTCTCCTTCCAGAAGAATGTGGTGTGATGGATCTATCTTGAAGTATGAAAAGTTCTGTTTTCATTTTCCTTTCTGATCTAGAAGAGTTTCTTTCTTTTATACCTTTGATGTAAAGGGAGAATAGTCTTTTCTATAGATGGTTGGGCTATTTGGTATGAACAGTGTCGAGTTAGAGTTTCAATACGGTGCTTCTTAGAGTTTCATCGATAACATCCTTTTACATTGAGAAATGGTGATCTGCTCGCATCTATGTTGTTTTTTGCTTAAACTAGATGGCTATTTTTGTCGTGCTATACACTGCTTTTACAAAAAAAATTGAGAGATGCAACTTCATCTTGTTTTGTACTATTGAATTTCAGGAAGTGGAAGCTAATGTTGAACACTAATCTGTATTTGCTGCTGACTGCATGGATCAAAACTATGAAGCAGAATGAAACAGGTCCAAATGAAGCAAAATGATATCGCGGATTCATATAACTGATTACTTGTACACAGAGAATGTTAGGAGGAAACCTGTGGATTGTTCCGTTGCTTTACAAGGGTGAAAGATTATTATTACCTGTTCCAGTAAACTAAACAATTAGGCACTGGAAATTTCTCACTTTCCGGATGTTCAGGAACAATCTAATGAAGACGACTAAGAATTACGATGCTTCATTCAAGTTGCTTGTATTATTTGTACATGTTAGAGAAAACTTATATCATCAATCAGAATCCTCCCCCTCTAAAGCTGCCATTTTTTCTTTACTCCAACACTAAGAAGCTCTCTTTCACCCATTGGGCTCTCTTTTCCCTTTCCATGGTTATTGACTAACTCGTCATCACATAAATCAGCCTTCAAGTCACTAAAATCATCGTCAACAGATGTATTTTCATGTGCAACTCGTCTTCATTAGGTAAGCCGGTTAGCATAATTGGGAAATTCAGAAAGAAGAAACCAACTATGAGTCAAGAAAGCTATTTAGCTAAAATTAGGAAGGCTAGGAGGGTGGAACCAACCACCATAGAGAACAATTGTTTGCCAAGAAGTATTAAAAGCACTTCTCTTCAGACTAACGAAGTTCAAATTCAATCAGTATAATATGTAGTCACAAAGTAATACTTTTTCATTATTTACAGTTCCCCATCTGCTATAGACTCGCTATTTATTCTATACTTCCCGAGTGTATCAGCATTAGTTCCGTCTGTGTTGCTGAATTTCTGCACCCAGGCATAGTCTTACAGCATGGACCACTATAGCCGGTAAATGTAGGAAGACGGTAAATGTGCAATTGACAAAGTCAATATCTCCAAAGCGAGCATCGTAAAGTATCTCTTGGCTATATACCACAAGGTACCCCATGAACAATGCATGCAGAGTGTATACCTACCACAAGCAGTACTCATCATCAAGTCAGTCATATTATTTATTCATTAGACAGAAGTAACACATTGTATGCAGACAACTGCGTGCTTACCACTAACATCCAATGAGCTATGTGGCTGTCAAGGATATCTAAAGCATAAACACAAACGCCGGAGAATATTATAGCACCAGAATAAAGCAGGGTTCCCTTGTAGATTTCTCCCCTTTCCCTCGTTATCAAGGCTACAAACCAGAAAGTTCCAATGCCAATTGTTGAACCTACCAAAAGGCCGAAAGCGAGGCTGGAGAGAAAGAAAGGAATGCTTTCTGAAGTTAGATATTGTTCAAAATATTCTTCAAATAAGGGCTAATCAACTACACATACAGAAGGGGAAGAGTAACTGCTGTTGAACTCATTAAGATGCAATAAATTAAAATCTAGGAATTCACAGAGCAAGTGAATGTCTCTGTCAAATATAAGATGCAATATATTTAAGCGCACTCTTCATAATTTGGTCATGTTTCATAATTTCACTAATGCATGAGCAATACTTGGTGCAAATACACAACTCTTTCACAATCTGATCATCATACTGATAGCCAAGAATGCACAAACTTTAAAACTTCAAAACATAATCGTGAGATACACTTTTCTTACCATAATTCCAGTCAAGTCCCTTAAATCCATGAAGAATAGAAGTAATTTCAGGGTATAGGAATCTTAAATACAAGTCATATTACTCAATGCTTCTCATTCATAAGCTAAATATAATGCAAATTCTGAACTGTGAAAGCCTAGATGATTGATCATGCCATTAATACACAAATTTTCAGACATTCCAGGTTGTCCAAAATCCACGTGATCCAAGATGTGTGCTGTGTGCAAGAATGATACAAGATGTCAAATTCATCCACTCCAATGCCTTATGAAAGATTTTTCACAGAGAAAGTAGTCATTCTAATTGATTATGGAAAACAATAGTTTCTACAAGGGTACCAATTTTTCCAGTTAGGATTTCGAGTAGATCTAATGATTATTAAGGCTAATGGGATTACAAGTATATACCAATCAGCAACAAGCCTTTCTCCGTACACAATTGAAGACTACAAAATCAGGTTCCTAGTGATGTGACATAACCAGAAAGCAGTCAAAGCAACCATATCAAACTTTGACAGAAGATTTCTGAACAATTTATAGCATCTTTTGACTCTTACGCTTGTTCCATTTCGGTGAGATGTTGGATAATAAGGCCAAAAGAAGCGCCCAAGTTAAAGACAGCATACAGCAAGAGTAAAACCCTCTTCCTCTGCATAGATAGTAGAAGATCTACGTTTTAAGAAGCGACTTCAAGAATAATTCAACAACTTGGAAGAAAATCTATACAGCATAGATCACATACCACTCTCCATGGTGCTGTAATGTACAGCCAGAGTAAACTTGCTACAGAAGAAATAACTGTGACCGGCCCTCCCGCTTCCCAGATCCAGTGCAAGAAGGATCCAAAAGTAAAACTCAACATGGCACAGAAGAAAGTAAGATACACCTATAATCACATGAAAAAGAAAAGGGAAATCCAATACTTAGAAGCGAAAATGCATCTTTTTCCAGATTACTAGGTTTTGCAAAAAAAGAAAGGATCAAACACAAGACACTGAAATCTGATCCAAAAAACGACTTTAAAAAATGAATAGGGAGCAAGGCTTCAATACCAAACTCGACTCAAAATGCTAAAGAAGAGAGTTTTATCAGATTATCACTGACGACATAATAGGGGCAAAAGAACAGTAAAAATTACAGAATTGTAAAATGTTGCCTTATTTCCGACTGAACTACAACAAATTGTAAAATTAACCAACAATCATTATCGGCATTCTCGCGATTACAAGTAGATCTCCTTATACATCGCGATTACGTAAATAGAAAAACCTCCATTCTCAGTCTCTCTAATACCAAACTCGACTCAAAATGCTAAGAAAAGCTGCATGTTACTCCAATTGGTTTTATCAGATTATCACTAACGGCATAATTAAGTGCAAGAGAACAGTAAAAATTACAGAAATTGTAAAATGTTGCATTATTTCTCACTGAACTACAACAAATTGTAAAATTAACTATCATTATCGGCATTCTCTCGATTACAAGTAGATCTCCTAATACATCGCGATTACGTAATTCGAGAAATCTCCATTCCTCAATCTATCAATTACAATTCTTAAATTACAACATTTTAATCAGAAAAAAAGTAGAATAAGTTTAAGGATGAATGAATGTACCCTCTTCAAGCTTCTGTAAGCATGCATGGAGATTTTTCCAGAATTCATCAAGTCTTGTCTTGTCCAATTCCTTTTGAAGGAAGCTTTCACAGCATTTTTCATCACTGAGAATTTCATTTTTTTTTTTTTGCAGAGAGAAAACGGAATCGGAAAACTGATGAAGAACAATGAAGAAGGAGAGCTGTGCTCTGTTTATACTGTAAAGGAGTTCGTTACCATCGACTACCCTCCCCGTTACTCTTATTCGGAATATTTACGCTTCTACCTTTCAGTTATGGGCCGAGTTTAGGAAATATTCCAGGGGTATTTTCGTCAAACGAGCAAAGAGAAAGTATCCACGTGTTCAGATCATTGGCGGGAAAGGGGAGAGGTTTTAGAAATGTAATTGTAGCATATTTAAATCGTCACGGAGAAGATAAGTACTAATTTATAGAGCAACTTTCACATATAGCAAACACAAAATTCATATTTGTATGTTATAGCAAAGTTTGCATAATTGCGCTTCATAGCAAACATAAATATTTATATTTCACTATACATATACAAAAGAAAACAGATGTATAATCTGCTTTGGTATACATATACAAAAAGATCAATTGTATAAAGTGAGAGAGACGAGTGAGAGAGCGAGATCTGGGAGAGTGGCGAGCGAGATCTGGGAGAGGGGAGAGAGGGGAACGAAAATATATGTATATATACAATTTTCACTCATTTTATACATTTGCGTTTTTGTAAAAAGTGAGAGAGGCGAGTGAGAGAGCGAGATCTGGGAGAGTGGCGAGCGAGATCTGGGAGAGGGGAGAACGAAAATATATGTATATATACAATTTGCGTTTTTTGTATAAAGTGAGAGAGGCGAGTGAGAGAGCGAGATCTGGGAGAGTGGCGAGCGAGATCTGGGAGAGGGGAGAGAGGGGAACGAAAATAGATGTATATATACAATTTTCTCTCGCTTTATACAAACACAAACGCACTTTATACACTTGCGTTTGTATAAAAAACGAGAGAGGGGAGGGAGAGAACGAGAGTGGCGAGCGAGATTCAATAGGAGAGAGGTGAAATAACAACAGTTTGCTATGAGGTACAATTAAATCAAACTATATTTATAGAATTTAATTTGAATTAATAGTTTGTTATTATATACAATTTTCCCTAATTTATATAAGATGTTCAGTTTTATTTTTTATTTAATTAAATTGATATATTGGTTAAAAAATCTTACATATCTTTTTTATTTTATGTTTTATATTTTTAATTAAATATAGTCTATAATACTTAAAAGCTATTTAAAATAATTAAATTCCCTCATCAGTCATCACTAAAGTTTTAATTACTCAATTTAGGATTAAAGAATAAATTTATTTCCTCTACAAGCTCCCAATTTCTCCTTTTTCATATTTTTTTTGGCCGAAAATTGAGTCACTGTTATACTAGCCCTCAATCATTATTATACAATTCAACTATTATTATCTCTAATTAATTTCTTCATTCGATAAAAGCTCAACCACTTCACCAACGATTATCGACAAAGTTTCTCTAGTTCAGTCATTGTTATTCCCAAATCTCAGTCATTGTTATCTCTAATTAGTTTCTCCTTTTCTGTGAGAGTCCAAAAAATGTGTTTTATACTCAACTAAATCATTCCCAATAACCGACCACTTGGTATATATAGACTAGCAGGTAATTTTATGTTTATCAAACCATTGATAAGCCAAAATGTGCTTAGTCACACACCCTCTAAAATAATTTTTAAAACTAAATAGTCGTGTTAATTTGCCTAAATATAATTGGAAGTGCCCGGAGGAAACAGAGACGATATCTTTTATGATACCAAAAATAGCTTAATAATTTTGGTGTAATGAAGTAAAATTGTTCAGTGAGCATTTGTGAAATTAAACCAAGTAGTCTTATATATGATTCCAATGAGAACCCTAAAATTTGAAACTCATGTAACAATTCAAATAGTCTTCATTGCACCCTCTTGAAAAAAAGAAAGAACACTTATTAGTAAGTACTACATTTATTAGCATTCAAGAGTTTCTTAATCACAAAGTATATTTGTGTGGTAAGGTAGGTAATCAACAATCAGTATTTGCCTAGAAATATTCAAAACACTTGGCTATTCCAAATTCAATGACTAAAATGTAGCCACAAAGGAATACTTCTTCATCATTTACAGTTCCTAATCTGCATTTTGATCAACTTTTGCACCAATGGGAAGGCATACTCTTGCAGCATGGAGCACTATAGCCGGTAAATTGAAGAAGACAGTGAGTGCACGATTGATAAAGTCAATATCTCCAAAGCTAACATCGTACAGTATCTCTTGGCTATATACCACAAAGTACCCCAGGAACAATATCACCGCAGCGGTTCCCTACAACAAGCAGTATTCATCATCAAGTCAGTCATATTATTCATTCATTATACAGAGGCGAGTTTAGAGCTAGAGTCAGTAAGTTTAAAATGACTTATCATATTGTATGTATACATATGAAGTTTAAGTTCGAGGCAAAAGTAATGATTTATTAATATGGGAACTGTTTTATAGGATGAGTGTGGTCGCATTGTATGCATACAACTGCTTACCTTTAGGATGGCTTGGACTGTGTAGCTGTCACGGATAAAACAGCCAATCACAAGCAAGACTGCTAACATTACAAGACAACAATAAAGCAGGCCACCGTGGTAGATGTGGCTCCTTTCCCTTGTTATTGTGACTTGAAACATGAAAATTGCAATGCCAACTGTTGTACCTGCAAAAAAGCTGGCAACAAAGCTGGAGAGCAAGCATGGAATGCTTTCTGAAGTTAGATATTGTTCAAAATAAGGAACAGAGAACAACAAGGGCTATCAACTACACATACTGTAGGGGTAAAGTAACTGCTATTGAATTCATTAAGATGCAATATAATGTAGGAATTAACAGAGCAAGCAAATGTCTGTTATTTTAGAACAAACTCCAGGAATCAGGGGTAAATTATCTATGTGAACTCTTCGCAATTTGGTGCAGATGCAGAACTCTTTCACATTCTGGTCATCATATTGCTCAACTTCTCCCATTCTAAGCCAAACATAGTTCAAAATTTGAAACTGTATGTGCTATAACATATACTAATAGCCAAGAATGCAGAGACATTAAAACTGTTCAGGTTTCCAAAGAAGCACATAACTGTTAGATACATTTTTCTAACTATAATTGAAGTCAAGTCCCCTAAGTCCATGAAGGATACAAGTAATTTCAGGGTATATGAATATTAATTACAAACCATCAATTTAGAAGTCCAAAACAATAGTTTATAGCCTAACAACAGACCAACATTCTAGCACCCAATGCTAGACATATTGCTCAATGTTTTTCATTCATAAGCTAAGCATAATGAGAATTCTGAACTGTGAAAAAGCCTAGGTGATCGATCATGCCACTAATGCACAAATTAATTTTCAGACATTCCAGGATGTCCAAAACATACGTGATCCTAGCCACATTTAACTAACTACGTGCAAGAATGATACAAAATGTCAAATTCCTCCATTCATGTGCCCTTGTACTCACAAGTCCTTATTACAGAAGTTTTACAGAGAGAGTAGTCATTCTAATTGAAGATGAAAAACAATAGTTTCTACAAGGATAAAGTTTTTATACTAATCAGCAAAAAGCCTTTCTCTGTACACAATTGAAGACTACAAAAATCAGTTTCCTGATAATATGATATGAAAAGAAAGCAGTAAAAGCAACCATATAAAACATCAACAGCAGATATCTGAACAATGTTTAGCATCTTTTGAGCCTTACTTTTGATGCATTTCGAAGAGATATTTGGTAAGAAGGCCAACAGAAGCCCCGAAGGAAAAGGCATAAATCATCAATAGTGAGCGCCTTTGATTCTGCATAGACAGAAGATTTACAAAATAAGAAGCGACTTGAAGAACAGTTCAGCAACTTGGAAGAAAATCTATGAGTCATTGATCACGTACCAGTCTCCATGGTGGTGTAAAGTAAAACCAGAGTAAACTTGCTGCAGAACAGAGGACTGTGAACAGCCCTCCCACTTCCCAGAACAAGTGCAAGTAGGATCCAATAGTAGAGCAAAACATGACATTGAAGAAAGTAAAATACACCTATATCATCGGTAAAAACTAATCAAACACAGGAAAAGGGCCCTTCATATATAGTGTTGGAATTAGAAGCTGAAATCTGAAATTGCACGAAACAAACTAATCCGTCCCATTCAATTGTTATGCTACTTTCATTCAAAACAACTTCTAAGACTGAATAGGGAGTCAGGCTTCAATAACAAACTCGATACAAAATGTTACTCTAGTTGTTTTATCAGATTATCACTAACGTCATAAGCAAGTGCAGAGGAACAGCAAAAATTACGGCAATACTTTAAAATCTTCTGAGAATCGGAATTCATCAATCCTGAAGATTTAAGAAAAGCAAGTAGAATGTTGCCTTATTTCTTACTGTGAAAAAACGAATCGACTATGATTATCCGCAATATTCCGAGAACCGAAATTCATCAATAGTGAAGATATAAAATATTTAAGGATTTAGCATCATCTTCTGATCAGCTATTAGAAACATGACTAAAATCTAGATTTCTCTAAATCAATATTTTGATCAGAACAGTAATTCTTAGGTATAGGATGAATGTACCGCATTCAAGATATCGAGAGTTTCCTGGTTAACTTTTCCAGATTTCATCAGGTCTTCTCTTCCCCAGTTCCTGTTGAAGTACGATTTCACAGCATTCATCGCATGGAGTTTCAGCTCTGAGAACTTCATCTTTCTTCTCTATTTTTTTCAGAGAGAAAATGGAAATGGAAAAGTGATGAGGAAGAATGAGGAGCGTGAGCTGTTTTTATAGTTTTGCAGAGAAGAGTTCATTACCAACGACTGCCCTTGCCATTACTCTATTTCAGATATTTACGGTTTTACCTTTCATTTATGGGCAGAATTTTGGGAATAAGCTGGGGTAATTTCGTCAAGGAAGTAAAAGAATCTCCTGACTCATATCATTGGCGGGAAGGTTTTCCTTTTTCTCATTTGGTTTTTTCAAATTACTCCTGTGGAACAATTGTATTTCTTTTTTAAAAAAAAAGAGTCTAAAACTTATC